AAAGCAAAAAAAAAGAGTCTAGGAAAGTTCAAGCTGGGAAAAACCAAGGAGAAGGGAATGGTTAAAATACTGCAGAGAGATGAGGTAGGAGGAGGAGACCAAAGAGATGTTAGATTTAGAATAAGGAAGTCATTAATGGATTTGCCAAAATAAATTTTAGAAGCATGATAGATAGTTCAAGTTATTTAGTGGGTTAAGAAATAATTGGATAAAATTTAACTAACAAATGGATCAGTATCCACAGTGTACTAAAACATAGAAATGAATGAGAAATGAAAAGACACCATTAAGATACCATTTTATACTGATAAGATTGGCAGATTAATAATACCAAATGTTTGCATAGATATGAATCAATAGAAACGTATTGTCAGTGGTAGCATGAATTGGTAAAGCTTTGAAAAGTAATGTTGGTATCATCTTGTAAAGTTCAATATTAATAGACCTCTGAGCCTTAGCAGTTCTGGTAGTGGGAGGCTTGGAGGGAAATTCTGCACATGTGCATGAGAGGCGCATAGGTGTCTGTGGCAACATGGAGGAAGGAGGAAAGCAATTCAGAAGTCTGTCAGGTAAAATTAGTAAGCAAATTGTGATACAGTCACAAATTGGTTTATTCTCAATATAAGAAATTACAGGTGTATTTAATAGCAGAAACAATAGTAATAAAAAAGTGAGACAGCAATAACAAACCATATTTTTAAAAAATTATCTTTTAAATGTTTATAAATTACTTAGAAAATACCATTTTATGACTATACAAATATTCAATTTTAATCACACATAAAATGATTTTTTTTAATTCAAAGATAAGCAAATGTAAATTGTATATCGTGGGGGGATACAGGCTTGTGTTGGGGCAAAGGGGAATCTTGAGAATAGTGGTAACTTTTGGAAGGAAGGAGCATATAGGTAGATGGAACAGTACTGATAATATTCTGGTTCCTTTTTTATAAAGCCATATTTTATTTAAACACATCAATTTAGAATAAACACTTGTTTTATTTTTGGTACCCGGTATTGAAGTCAGGGGCACACGACCACTGGGCCACATCCCCAGCCCTATCTTGTATTTTATTTAGAGACAGGGTCTCACTGAATTGCTTAGCTCCTTCCTATTTGCTGAGGCTGGCTTTGAACTCATGATCCTCTTGCCTCAGCCTACTGCACCACTGGGATTACAGGCATGTGCCATCACGCCCAGGTAAACACTTTTGAAATAATCCTCACATGCAGCAGTGGCTATTATCATCTGGATTTAGTGAAGAATGGTGAGACTTGGCCCATTAAGTGCCCTTCTACCTCGAAGCTGCCTCTCGGATGTCATCAGTAGGGAATGGGGTGTGTGTGTGTGTGTGTGTGTGTGTGTGTGTGTGTGTGTGTGTGTGTGTTTTGCTACTGGGGATTGAGCCCAAGGGCACTTTGCCACTGAGCTACATCACCAGCCCATTTTAACTTTTTATTTTGAAACAGGGTCTTACTAAGTTGCTGAGGGCCTTGCTAAATTGTTGGGGCTGGCCTCAAACTTGGATCCTCCTGGTATGAATGACCTTTTTTTGCATAGAACTTTTGTGAATTAAACTTGGCTTTAATTTGTTTCGTGTTACTTTTAATGTATTACTACTATACTGAGGATTAAACCCACTGGTACTTGAACCACTGTGCCACATCTCCAGCCTTTATTTATATGCATATATTTTTTAAATTTTTTTTAGATGCTGATGGACCTTTATGTTATTCATTATTTATATGTGGTACTGAGAATCAAACCCATTGCTTCACACATGCCAGGCTAGCTCTCTACCACTGAGCCACAACTTCAGCCCCTCTTTTTTATATTTTATTTAAGATGATCTCGCTGAATTGCTAAGTGCCTCACTACATTTCTGAGGCTGGCTTTGAACTCAAGATCCTCCTGCCTCAGCCTCCCAAGCTACTGGGATTACAGAGGCCACTGATCCCAGCCACTTTTAATGTATCTTTTACTGCTATTACTGAGGTACATGTGCTAACATCCTATGTTATTTCCTTAAGGAACATTTTCGCTCTCCTTAGGGATGCTATGATTCTTAAATTGTAGTCTTTGACAAACATTAATGAATTGTTTTAAAGATAAATTTATGATTCTCTCACAAATGCCAAATCAATATGTGTCAAAAAATTTTAAGTCATTAAGTTTATAAGGGAATCAGGAAGATGAAACCATTTCAAGGGATGCTTCAAAGTTAATAGCACATGTAAAAGTTAGGAATGCTGAATTGGTTAGTTGCAGAATTGGTCAGTATCCAAGGGCAATAGTTATATCCCATTGGACATAATTCATTGGCATTGTTTGGGTCAAGAATTT